TTCCTACGAGTTTACTTTTTTCATAAATGCAACGATGCACCTAAAAAATGCAAATGCACTCTTACTTTAAATAGAATAACATATTTTTTTTTATATAGATCGATTCATCGGAACAGCTTGCGTAAAGAAGTGTTAGTAAAAGAATGCAAAAGAAATGAACAATTCGTGAGATATTTGACATTTTGAGTCATTTATTAAAGAAGATGTTCGAGCGTTCCGCTTTCACATAGTAAACACTTTATCGTTTTTTTGTTTTTTATACAGATTCAAGGTGATCACTGTTTATTTTAGAACAATGTAATACAATTAATTCTTTTAAGTTTTCCACAGAAACAAGTGAACGCGAATACACTTTATCTTTGAGGTAATCCCACAAAAAGAAATCAAGAAGGATCATATCACCTTAAATTTATTAAATGGTATATGGAGTGTTTACTATGTGAAGGCGGAACGTTCGGACATCTTCTTTAATAAATTACTAAAAATGTCAAATATCTCACGAATTATTCATTTCTTTTACATTGTACGCTAACACTTTTTTACGCAGGCTATTCCGAGGAATCGATCCATATGAAAAAAATATGTTATTCCATTTAAAGTTAGAGTGTATTTGCATTTCTTAGGTGCATCGTTGCATTTATGAAAAAAGTAAACTCGTAGAAAAGTAGAGCCTTTTATTCCATTCAACTTTTTCCTCTACAACTTTTTTGTATTATTAACCAAACTTGAGATATAACCTGTCCCAATTTCGTGACTCACCCTGTATATATGTGTATATGTGTGTGTGTGTGTGTGTGTGTGTGTGTGTAACATACATACATACATACACAGGGTGTCCAAAACTCTCCTTATCACATTAAGTGGGAATGTAGAACGGGTTGAGGTGAACATAAAAGTCCTATATCGTTTTGCGATAACCGAGAAATTAATTGTAAAAATTAAGGAAAGACGCATGCTGAATGGTTGAGGGTGGAGCGCTCGGAAATAATATAGCGCACGGAAATCGGCGCGCGGTGATTGGAAAAACAACGTACCTTTGTCTATACTTATATCACTGTACTCCTACATCTCGCCTCGACGCGGTGCGGTAAGACGTAGGATCAGAGCGATATAAGACGCGCTGACATCTGCCTGCTATATTACTGGGTCGCAAGCGTTTCCTCAATCATTCAGCGTGCGTTTTTCCTTAATTTTTTACAATTAATTTCTCGGTTATTATTACAAATATATAGAATGTATAGGACTTTTATGTTCATCTCAACCCGTTCTACATTTCCACTTAATGTGATAAGATGAGTTTGGGACACCCTGTATATATACATGTGTGTGTGTGTGTAATAGGATTATGTAAAATGATACAATTGTATTTTCATTGTACACGGCGAGAGGAAAAGAGAAGATTCGTGCTTTGGATACATGAACGATCGTGTTTCTGCCTCCCTTTTTTTGGCCAGGTGTGGTGTTTTGATTTCCTGGCCACATTTGTTGCGCAATATGTTTTCGTAAAGACACGGAAATTTCTCTCGCATGTCGGTATATTCACCGCCTGTGAATTAATTTAATACAGCTATATTGCAGTCTTGTTGCATACACAGAGACGAAAATTTTGCAGCGTAACGCAGACTGAGCGAAAATTGTGTGCGTCTAAACGATTATTACGGAATATTACGAAATGCACATATAATACAGCAATTGTTATTCGTGATAGAGAGACATACCTACCTATATCAGTCGTCCACCTCTATTTTTTTTTTTAGAAAATGTCGTAACTGAAGAATTTATAGATCTTACGTAGACTTTTTGGACTTTGTGGATCTATAAATATTAATGTCCGACCAGACCAGAGATATGTAAAAATACGTACACGTATTTTTCATTGATTTCTACATGAGATAACGTAAAAATATGTATGCATATTTATATCTGAAAATATACCTGCACGTTTCTCTCCTCCCTGTGTCGATAACCATGAATATTTTCCATCTTATTCCAGTCTCTCTCTCGAGTGTTTTGTCCCGATCTTTGGAGCGATTCTATTTTCGGCCCGGCCACGAATTGCGCTCTCATCGCGTAATCCCGCAAGCTCAGCCTTCATAAAGCCTGCTGATTATTGATATATCGATATAAGTCTCACGGGAGGCTCGCCTTGACCTGACCACAAAGTCATTACTGCTGGTGGTATTACGAATACCACGATCGCGTCGTGACTCGTTGGCCGCCTCTTGCGCACATTACATTTATTCAAAACGACATAAAATCGATTCCGCCTTTTCACGTGACGTTTAGTTAACGTAGACAAAAGTATCGAATAATCTGCCGGCAATTTCCTGGGACGACGCGAGCCTTTTCCCCGCTCTATTCCGCCTATTCTGCGTGAGCGAGAGGAAGTTACAAAATATAGATTGACTCTCTCTCTCGTTGTCGAACGGTGAATTGTTCGCGAAGCGACGACATGAAATTCGCTCGACGTTTCTGCGCGTTATTATCGTTCCGAGCTTTATACGAGCGCGTATCGCATTCGCCACGGCGATTTGAACAATTCGCAGACGTCTGTGGCTAACATCCGCCTCGACGACGACGACAAACGGACGGTTTCGCGAGACGCACTCGTGAAATAAACACCACCGATAAAGCCGGGATATCGCTCGAACGTCTTGCGCTGAGGAAGCGAATTTAATCGTGGAAACGTGCGCAAACGGCCTTCGCCGGGAGAAAAACAAATTCCGACGATCCCCGCGCGACCAAAGACGCGGGGAATCGAAGGAACGAACGAACGAATGATTGAATGGCTGTCAATTTTCGAACTCGCGTTTCTATTTGGGAGAAGCAACAGCGGAAAATTAGCGACGGGAGCGGGAATATCGTGCGTTTATTAGGAGCGAACACGCGATACGTCCGGATTTAATGACCGTTCATCTACGGAATGAACGGCAAGCATTCTCGCGCGTGGGAAAGAAATTCGAGCGCGCGTCGTCTCGGGTGATTCGCTTCTCCTGCCTTTGACGGAGAAAAAATATTCGTTATGAAATATGAAAGGATTGTATGTTAAGGATTAACGTTGAAGGTGAAATATGAAAGGGTGAAATTCTCTGAATAACTTTTCCTAACTATACGTCGTTTATAGCTTCCGAGACATTTGCCTTTGAAGTACTGGAATTATAAGGTAAAAATATCTTTATAATATTTCAAAATGAAAATCGGAGAGGTGTAAGCTTCTCTCTAAATAATTATCATGCTATTTTCTCGGAGAGATCCGCTAATGATTTATTATGTAACATGTGACTCGTCCTGCAATGCGCTCGGCAAAAAGAGAGCAAAAAGCGAAATCATTTGCATAAATGTGACGTTTTTATCGCTCATAATGTATCACCAATAAAACACCTATCTTGTTGTTTACATTTGTCGACGAGGAAGAAATCGTAATTGATCGCACGACAGTTACGCGATCTTATCGAATACACGGAAAGAATATTGTAATAAAAATTACAATACAATTTTAGTAGTCTCGGAATAAATTGACACTATTAGGAAAATTATAATAAAACATAGTAAAAATGCCCAAATGATCTTGACCAACATATTAATTTTTACTACATTTATGGTAATTTTTACTATGTTCATGGTCTCTTTTACCATATCTTATTATAATTTTCATCGTAGTGGCGGTCTATTCCCGGAGTACTAAAACTGTATTGTGACTAAATAAAAGTTGTACGAGAGAAATCGATAGCTCCTGTGTACGGAGCGGCCGGCAGGAGCTATTGTTCCTTTACTTTCGGCGAGAACGACGACGCGTCCGGCGTGCAGCGGTGAGTCAGACGTGTCGTAGCCGTCGCGTTTTTTCCACGTGTGCATACAACTGAAATGTAAATAACGACTCACATTTTACGTAATTCGCGCAATGACAAATTCCGCTGGAGCGAGCTGTCTAATGTTGCGAGGCCATTCAGACCGAAACACACGGCAATTGGATTAATTACAACCGTTGTAACAGGATTAACGATAACAGGATACACGTGACGCATCGATCGACGGCTCGATCGCCGTCTCGTACTCGATAGATACGGTGTATAATTCGCCTTGAAGGCAGAGACATCAAAAGCCGACGATGTGGCTGTCTGTATCTGTGCCCGCTGTTCGGGTTCTTCTCGCTACACCAGAAGAAAGTTTGGTTTATCCGACAACAAACGAACCGTTTTCATAGAAGGACACGGAATTTCTAGCTTGTAGAGCGATATTCGTAGTCAGATCTTATATTTAAGTTTATCTTCGGATATTGTACCGATTATTTCATCGGCTACAGAACGTTTGAAAATGGACTCTTGGCGCAATCTTAACCTGTCTCGTTGGAAAGTTGGGATCTGAGACTCTACGCATCCCATTTCGTTCTTTTTAAATCTTATCTCCAGAATTGTTTTCTCTTAGCTGATATTAAATTCCAATTATTCCACAGAATCATGAGAGATAAAATTTGATAAATTATAAAAAATATAACCAGAAATAAAAAAGAAAGAAATCCACTAAATTACATCTTTCCAATGATGGGTTAAACATAATATCGGACTATGAATATTAGAACCGAATTTGGTTCATAAGTAATTCAATTTCCTTCGACACATTTAGTTCATGCATTAACTGCGTCCTGCGCCGCAGAAAGCCGCTTTGCAGCTGTTGTAAAATTCGTGAATCTGCACGGAAAAAAACCTTAATTCGGTTGAATCAACCGAGTGTCTGGTAAAATATGAACGAAACAGAATTCCGCGTAAAGTTACCAGAATAATGTTCAACTTAACAGGATTCTGATTAACCAAACAAGATTTTGGATTAACTGGAACTTGCAACACACTATACATTGAGCGGATCCGTGAATTTTACAACAGTTGCAAAGCAGCTTCCTCCGCTGCGTGAGCGCGGCCATTGTCAGGTTAATTCGGCCGAGCTTTTCTCCCCGTGCACATCATGATACGCGCGCATATGTTTAATTCGCGCTTGTATTTCAGGTGCAATCCGAAGGGGCTCATTGGATCCCACTCGAAGATTATCCCTCGGAACACCCGCTATACCTCACCGAGCGTCGGATGCTTGCCTGGATCCGGTTCACGCTGCCATACTCTTCAGGGATGCGCGCGGTGTAAGTTGATCTTGGTACTCGTTGACGCAGTGTTTGATTGCAAAGCTACTTTTGTTGCCCTACGACGGTGCCCGTCGATGATCATCGTCTCAGGCGGAGCGACATGCTCGAGGGCGCGTTGTTTTTTTTTCTGTCTCTCGTATTCCTTCACGTGCCTCGACAATTGCACGTTCGCAAATTGCGACGCCGTTTTATCACCGTGTGACGAGTTTGCGACGTCGTTTTATCACCGTGTGATGAGTTTGCGACGATCGATCGTTGCAGGAGCAACGATGCGCATCGAAAGTAGAATTTGCACGCGCGAATTGATCCTTTGCGGTCCAAAGTCTCTTCGAAAAATCTTTCTTTGAATCGGTGATAGACACGCGTTTACTCCACAATAATATTACGTATGTCTCGATATACTTCAGTATTCAAATACAATATATTTACTGCAATAAATTCGTAATCGTGTGTAATATTAATGAAATTAGTTTGCAGAACCGACCAGAACGAAACACGCGATGTTGAGATGAACTCTTGACCGCGGGTGGACCGCGAAGGGTTAAGCGCAGGATCACACGAGCGAGAATGGAAATTGCGGAATTTGGGGAGCGAAGCGAATACATTCGCTGCAGGGGTTGGAAAATATGGAACAGACGGGTTTTCGTTATCGCATCGGTAACGACAAAATTCGCACGTACACTGGATTTGCGTTTGATCCTGTTGTGATCCTGTCGTGGTGTTGCAATTTCCATTTTCAGCAGTGTAAATAAACTCGATACTATCTGTGATATATAGACGTGTAGCGTGCACGCTTTTCCGCGACGAAATGAGATATCCAGCGGGCATTACAATCGCAGTTAATCGATCTCGCGAAGACTATTGTATATATATATATATATATATATATATGTGTGTGTGTGTGTGTGTGTGTGTGTGTGTGTGTGTGTGTGTGTGTGTGTGAATTTGGGTCACGAGGAGAAAAGTTTACCGACGGAAAGGTCGGGAGTATATCTCTGCGCGGTCGTATATTTTCTTTTTCAGTCATATATTCTTCGGAGAGTGACATCAGACGAGACAAGACAACACAATGTACGAGGCGGATGCTTCTCCTCGTCGAATTATTACATTCATGAGATAGGCGAGAAAAAGTCGCGATGCTGTAAACAAGTCTATAGCCGGTATTCATAGTCGAATCTTATTTCAAGATCGTCTTAAGTAATGTCTTAGATACGAATACGGCTCTATGATTGGTTCATGATATCGTAAAACAGTACTTAAGATGATCTTAAATATAAGATCTGACTATGAATATCGGTCTTTATGCAAATTTGTGATCTAATATTAGTCGCGATAATACGAAAACGTCGATGAGCGAGAGATTTTCTTCTCATCGGCAAATTAAGGTACTATCTTACCGACGGACACGTCGGTAAGTGTCTTCTTTACCACCAAGGTACTCGCGAGATGGCGCAGTTCGCGAAATCTATTTTGTTGACGGTGTTTCCCGTCAGTTTTTAAAGGTTTCGCGGCCCCTTTAGCTCCGGAAAGCCCGCGATCGAATGCGTATCCAAAAAGTCGCATATCCACGACACACGTCGTCTCGTCTCTTGCTGCTCATTTATCTCTCACGTGGTATCGATCAAGACGATGTCGATCGCGCAGACATCGATCACACGCAAGGAACGCCTTGTGTTTTATCTCGAGAGAGCGTGTCCACTCGTTCTTTTCCAAGCACGCCAACGCTTCTCGACGAACGACCGAACCTCTGTTCGAATCTTTCTTTCTCGGTGCTCAGTTTATTGTCCTTTTTGCTGCACGTGCCGAGTGCCATATTTACATGTTTATTGACGCTCTTATCATGCGGCGCCTAGTCGGACCTGACTCAGCAGATAAAACGCGACTTGCCGGGAAAGCGGGATCGTGCGCGAATGTTCATAATAACGATTCCGATGCGCGGACGTGCGCGCGAGCGCATTGATATTCCTATCAGCGGGGAAGTAACGTCATCCGATGCAATGGCATCTCTTGGCGAACTCTCCCGTCCCCCCCCCTCCCTTCCGTCTTTCTCGCCTGGTCTTCCGCGTGGCAAGTTCGCCAAAATAGGCAAGGGAGAACACGCGGAATAATCTTGCTGATCAGCCGGGATAACGACGACGGCCTCGGCGCGACTCCCGTGCGTCAAAAGAGAGAGCGCGCGTATTAACCGACGCGCCATAAATTTCATATACACAACGTGTCCGCAAGCTCCTCCGCACGAGCCGCTGGGCGCCAGGCTAGTCCGGACGGCGGTGATCCAGTTGAGCACGAGCGGTCGAGCGAGCGCGGGTCCACGCGAGGAAGCCGACGCGCGCGCGGCGTCATCGCGTCGAGACGTCACGCGTTTCCACTCTCGCCAGGTGCTCTCTCTCTCTCTCTCTCTGCCTCCCCGTCGTCTTGCGCTTCTCGGGACACTAAGTCGATAGTCTCGTCGGATAGTCGCGATGAACGGCTGGCACGGTGAGATAGCTGAAGTTTTGGAACGACTGCGACGCGACGCAACGTCGTGAGAATAGAGACGCGAAGGAGAAGCTCGCGATTCGAGCGCGCGCGCGTCTCGGCGAAGCTCGCCGCGGGTTTCCTCGCGGAAATAAGGACGGACGAGAATGCCGCGCGCGTAGTGAAATGACAGTTTTGACGTTTGCGCGTAGAAGGACGATCTCCTCGGCCGCGACGCGTCGCTTCGGTTTAATTAGGCCGTTCCTGGGGTGCGACTAATTAACTGACATTTTCCCGAGTCGGCTCCGCCGAGAGAACGAACGCACAGAGAAAAAGAGAGAAAGAGAGATCTTCTGCCGCTCGTGTGAGCAGCGAAGATTAGTTCCTCGGGCGACTTTTGATATTTTCGCGTAGGTCTCGCGCGCAATTAGGAGAAGTCAACGGCCCGTAGGTATTCGCGATGAGTCGGTATTTAAGATCTTCAATCACGTTAATCTCAGATCCGAAGCAAAACCGCCTAAGTCTTAGTCTAAACTCGTCTGTGCTCGAACATGTTAATATTAAAAACTCATACCCGTGAAAATAACACGCGGAAAATCGCGCAACCTCGACTGTCAGTGAGTTCGCAGAGTGACGATTCGAGTCAGTGTTTCAGATCTTGAAATTCAGCTAGACTGGAGATACAAAGTAAAGTCGCCGCGATCTCAACCTCAGTTCAACTAAAGTAGTTTATCTGATGTTTTAAAAATTTTGGTCAATGAAAATGACACGCGAAACGTTGAGAAAATCGCGACTATAGCTCACAGTAAATTTGTAGGATGACGATTCGCGACCAGCCAGCATTTAGGAGCTGCAATCGACTCGGTTAGAGATCCAAAGCAATATTCGCCGAGATCTCAACTGGAATCTTACCGAGAATTTATATTCCTTCGAAAATGACACGCGAAATGCAAAAATCGTGACTATGATTCGCGACGAATTCTCGCAGGATGACGACGAAGTTTAATCGAGTCGCACGCGGGTCTTGACAACCCCTTGAGCTCTCTCTTTCTCTCTCTATCTATCTCTCTGTGCCGGCTGCCACTGAGCAACGACACAAACACTTGTTGCTAGAGTAACGTGTGTGCATTGTTACCGCGCGCGCGGAACACAGTGACAGCTCGTGTAGAAGAAGTGTCGGATTAGAACGCTCTCGCGTTTTAACAACCTTGACCCACACACCTGCCCGCACTCATTCTTTGTAATTCGTCGGGTGACGATGTAGACGACATGGGAGTGTTGATTGGGCACACACGTCGGTCAGCCGATTTCTTTCGACGGGACGCGATGTACATTGATCCTTCGAGATCCCTCAAGATCGTCGACGTTTCCTTCTCACCTAGTCGAGTCGCATGTAAAGCGGGAAAAACAGGTTTTCCGTGTTATTGACGCGGAATACGCGATTTTTATTGCGTCATAATCGCCGCCGTGACAATGATGAACGGCGCGTATCGAGGATGCAAAACGAATTTCACAGATCGTTGGATAAACGCCCGATATAATGTCGAGCGAGCGGACGCCTTAATTTAACGATATGCATAGGAGGCGGTAACTGCTATCTACAATATTTTCGAAATATGAAAGCATTAGAGCCTCAGACTCTAATATTTGAAGCTACTTGAAATTAGAAGAAACAAAGTGTTTCCGCCATAAAACAACGGCTCTTGTGCCATGTAATTCAGATTTTTCCCAATTATATTATAAATTCTCCATATATATATATATAAATTTTATTCTGTATTTCTTATATATAACAATTTCTATATTATTTTTTATAAATCTTTTATCAGTCTCATATTTCGAAGATGTCCAAGATGATAGTACACGGAGAGAATTTTATAATGAAAATTGCTATATAATTTTGCGGTCGAAGAATAGAAAGTCGATATTTTGCAGTAATTATCCTTCCATTTCATACATACTATTTATATCTTAGGGACTAAAGTGTGCTATTAAAAAATATGTTACCTTTTCAATAAAATTTGTATGTTTCTTAGCTAAACAGACCTTACCGACAGTCTATTCTTGCATCACAAATTCGTAAAGAATTTATATGAAAAAAATTATAATTCTATTCTCTCCGTATAGTTGTCTTATTCTGCAAATTAGACGCCTCTAATGACAAGGAGACGCGCGAACGAGAGAGGAGATTCCACGCGTTCAAACATACTTGAATTTCAGTACTTGAATCTCAAAATATGTACTTTCCATCCACGCGGTCTTGTTCGCACAAATGCTAATGTCCAAGCTGTTTGTAAACAATCGCTTCTTCCAAAGTATATTTAGAACGCCATTTTCATGCGTTGCTCGCGACGGGCCTTTGTCGACAGGTCGCAAATATCGGGCGCAGGTCCGACTGCGAAAGATAAATGCGGATAAAATTCTTCACACGTGCAGCGAGAAAAAAAGAGATAACCGTGTATGCGTATGATGTTGTATTTGTTCCTAGAGCCGGCGGGATGATTCGAGTTTTCTCCTTGTGTGCGTTCCTGCGTCTGTTTGCTTTGGCGCGAATCGCACTCGTGAAGCAAGTTGCACGACGACTTATCAGCCAACGTAATATAGTGATACTTTATTCAACAAGCATCGCTTTGTGTCGTGATTCATTCTCGTGGCGTAAGCGAGAAACGATTTTTCGTCCCTTCGACGTGTTTTCGCGTCCACACTCGTCTGCCTTGGCGCGAATCGTGAATCAAGTTGCACGACGACTTATCGGCCAACGTAATATTGTGATACTTTATTCAACAAGTATCGCTTTATATCGTGCTTCTCTCTCGTAAACAAGGAATAATTTCTCATCCCTCTGACACGTTTTCGCGTTCACGTTGGTGAAGCAAGTTGCACAAAGACTTATCACACTGAGGAAAAAAGTTTGGTATTTGTAACTGTAATCGTACAGGGAGACAATTGCTAAACATCATACTATACATCATGGTCAAGAAGACCATTTTCCATGAAATTCCGCTATAATATTAGTGATAATAAAAACTTATATGCATGCTAGCATTACCATTTTGCTAGAGAAAATATAGCCGGGGCCAAAAGCAACAGTAATTCTGCTTAAATCAACTATTTCGCTTCTCTCAGTGCAGTCAGCGCAATATCGTGACGCTTTATTCAACAAGTATAGCTTTGCATCGCGTGGCGTAAGCGAGAAACGATTTTTCGTCGTCGTCCGCGTCCCCCCGACGTCCACGTTTTCGCGCGCGCGCGCATGTAACGAGAAATAATATTTGCCGTTCTAATCTTTATCCTCGTCGCTGGCGAGCCTCCGTGCACTTGGCTCGCTGAAATACTTAGCGAATATTACGAGCCGACTTATCGATGCTTCGCGATAAGCCGGCTCGCTCGTGCAGGATCGCGCCGGGACGAGCGGCGCCCCGCGACGGCGTCTTCTTGGCGAACGAACGCGAGGCCGCCGGCGCAATGATGGAATTTTTGCGTGGGCGTTTCATTTAAATCCGGACTCCTTTGCGTCGAGCGCCGTTACAAAATCCTCCGCGTTAACCGACCGACCGACTTCGCAGAGTTTTACAAAACAGCAACGACCGGAGGAGATCTCTCGTTTCGTTTTTCTCATCCCGCGCTACAGTCGCCCGTCTCACATCAACAAGTTGTTGCCTCAAACGCCGCGTGTCTCTCGCCGGCCATGACTCATGGAGTGCTATTTTTTTTTATCTTGCAGCGGCGGCCTTGCAAACATGTCGCGCGAGTCATATCGGAACTTGGTCGTCGTACGCCCACACGTTGTTGCAAAAATCCGTTAAACGCCTCTGTACCGCGACGGACGAAGAGCGAAGGAGAAAGAACACCGCGTCGCACATGATGCGCTCGCGTATTACACTCGCGCTTAACTGTTTCTGCACGTTCCGTTGCAGAAACGCGCGACGCCGCGCGGCAACACGCCGCCGCTGACGCAGTGATGGCTAATTAATTTCGATACATTAAATAACCGATAAGAAACGCGGGACAAGCTTTAGGCGGTTGGCCGCGCCGATCTATCGGCGGCAGAGTTCTCGCCAGTGGCCGTGTTGTCCGTCGTGTATGTCCGTTGTGTATTTTTAGATTCGGCCAGCCTTCTCTCTCTTCCCTCGAGGCGGAACTCTCGAGACGCAAATCGATTCCGCCGTGATATCGTCTTCGCTGCTCTCGTCGTCGTCGTCGTTATTGTCGTCATCTCCCAGACGAAGCAACCGTGTCGCCAAATATCAGTTTTTTATCGGCGATACAAACGAAGCAGCGCGCGCGGGCCGCTGCAGGTTCTTGGCGCCTCTTCACCACGTCGTACGTTCGTTTGTTGTACTTGTGTTACATGTGTCGCGGCATGTGCTATCTATCGTCTTACTATTCTTGGCACGGATCGAATGAGCCAGTCGAGCAAGTTGGAAAAAGACGGGCGTAGTTCGAGGGAGGAGAACAAGAGAGGCGCTTTCTAACGGGTGATCCGCCGGCAGAACGCGCCGCCGCCTAACGACACCGACATTGTTCTCACGTAGAGGTGGGATACTGAACGTCACCTTAATGAGTTCGATGGTATGGATACGCGATGCTCGTGATTCGCGGCGTCTTCCGCCGCGTCTTGTTCGCGTCTCGCGACTATGTCCGCGCGCCGTTCTCGGAAATTTCTCCGTTGGTGACATTGTTGCGCACACTGTGTAGCACGGTAGATCTCAGTTTATGCAGATAGAGATTTGTTCCACCTGACTTCCGCCGACAGCATCCACGACGGTAGATGGGATGGCGCACAGGTAGATGTGTGCCACGAGGCACACTTTCCAAAGTCTCGAAACCTTTTAGGCAGTTTTGCGGTCAATCATAACTCATTATCGCGATTGACTGTACAAAGACAAAGGAGAAAACTTTTTTGTATGTTCTTGTCTTCAGAAAGGATCCTACAAACCGTCAATTCTTTTCCACAATAACCGAGATACGAACATGCCACATCCGCGGTCAAAACTAAGACTTGATGCTAGGCGATGTCGGGTATTAGTCGATTAAAATTTTCTTTGACCAATATAATCGGCGAATTAATAATAAAAAATGTATTATT